CACACACACCCACACACCCACACCCACCCACACCCACACCCACCCACACCCTCGAGCGCACTCGCTACATCCAATCAGATCCATTCTCGAATATTCTTCGCTTGATTAGAGTTATTACCGACCTTTCTTTAACGAATCAGACTTTTTCTTATGGTGCTCATTAAAATGAATATTTCTTCTTGGCTTTTCTTCGATAAATCTGGTTTTCTTCTTCTGTTTCCTTTTCCGCAAGGAAGAGTCATCACTATCAAATTGTGTGTATGTCTGTTTATCTTTTCAATTACTCTGGAAGCAGTACGCTCAACAAGTCCAAAATAACCACATGGGAAAACAGGCCACGGGTACAAACTGATAAGACTCCAAAATCTATGTTTTGTGGAATGTAACTTAACCACAGGTGATTGCCTGTAAAAAGTCAGCGCAGAAATTGTTTTATATATCAAGGCTTACTACCTCTGTAGAATCGTTGTAAAAAGAAAATGGAAAAATTGTTTTAACTCTCAGTTATCATTTGTTTATCGGTCAGAACCTTGAGGGTTATAAATCTCATATTGAGATTAAGTTACCTGTTTACAAGAAAATGGAAATAGGAGGCACAGAAACGACGAGTCTGACGTAGTGCATTAGAGGAGTGCCGACTACTAACCACGTACTGGTATATTTCTTTCAGATGAAATACGTTTTTCCAGGAAGATTCACACAGTATTTCATTCTCGCATTGAGAGTATTCGAACGAAACTACAGTATGTGTATCATCCGTGTGTTTGTTAAGTCAATCAGAGACAAATAAATATCTTCAATGGGCAAAAGAAATGAAAAAGAATTTTGAGAGTCGGATGTATCATTACAGCTTCTTTTGGAAACGATGTTGCAAAAAGCCAAACAAAAAATGAAAACTTTTACTGAGACTGTAAACTAAAACATGCATCATAGAGAATGAAGAAAGATAATCTAGAAATGTTTCTACGATTCATCAGCAATATTTCGCTATCTTAAAAATATAGTATTCGATAAGAATACAAATTCAAGTGTTTATTTTTTTTTAATTAAAAAATCAACAATGAATTCATATTAACTTTTGTAAAGAATCTAACTCGATTTCACTATCTGAGCACTTTCCTAGAAAATAGAAAAATCTACTAGGACTTGATATTGTCAAAAGAAAATTGTAGTTATTCTCTACAGCTAATTGTACTATAATCTGGAACTGATTATAGCTCAAAAATAAGTAATATAGATAAAAAAAAAAAAAAATTCTTAGTTAAGCATGATTTTTTCAAAACTCGACAAAAAAAATAGATGTTGAACAAAGTTTTTCATCAAAAGATTATTAGAACGAAAGAAATGTGGATGAAGATATGACCAATACTATAGCTGCCACAAAGTACATATATGGGATTCGATTAATGAAGAAATAAACTCTAACGGAAGACGACAATTATTTCAAAGAACACTTCGATAAAAACAGAATGTCTCAAAATGCAATACTTGATTTTAAGTTTAAGAAAATTACATGAGAGACAGCATAATTTAGAAAAAATGAAGAAAGACTAACAATATTTGCTTTATTTACAAAAGCACATGATAATTCAAATGTTACATGGTCCTTACAAGATGCAATTGCAACAGGATTTGAAAAATTTCTCGACAAATCACAAGCAGTTAATCATTGGCAATGCGGTCTTGATTTAGATTTAAATACAGGGAAGAATCAATTATTTAGTCGACGTCAATATGATAAAAACACCGAACAACAACAACGTTTAAAAATGAAACAATATGCAATAAATGATCGTGCTGCAATTGCCGACTTATTCTTTCACATGTGTCCAGAAAAAGCAGACAATCATCAAGTACTTGAGACACCAACAACAACATCGACAAATATTATAATTAATTTTGAAAATGAATTATCGGACTTTAGCGAAGATGAATTAATTCAAATTTTAATGCCAAAATTCAATAAACGAGAACCAATATTACCACCACCAGACGATGATCCACATGCCTTAACAATTACAACAACACAAGAAGAAATGAACGAATTTAACTTAATGGAAGAACAACAACAACAACAATCACAAATACAAACGACAACATTAACAAAATCTGAACAACAAAGAAGAAAAAATTTAAAACTTAAATGGAAGCAAAAGAACCATCCAGATTTTCAGCCCAAGATCAAACGGCTCATTTATCATAGATATGATTATTAAAAAATTCGGGCCCAACTTGAAAGAGATGATATCCATACAAGTCATCAAATTACAATCAACAGACATAAATGCGAAGTTTCAATTGGGTTTAAATCACAACATGAACAAGAAAAAGCAAGAACAAAAATGAAAATGAATTATTTTTCAAAAGAACAATACGAACGACGATGGGGTTAAAAGATTCAAATTAATTAAATTAAATTAAAAAAAAACAATAACAACAAACAAGTACAAACACAATAAACAACATCAACAAAATTAAATAACCATGTGAACCACAACAAACAATAACAATAAACATTAAGACAACAACCAACCATTATCACGACAGAAACAAAACAAGAGAGGTAAAAACAACAACCAGTTATATTTTTAGTCCATTTAGATAAACAACATCCAACAGAATCACAACAATAACATCATCAACAAAATTATCACACAATATGGACATTTACTAATAACATATGTTGGATCATAAACCCTTCATTATCTTCCACCGGAAAAATTGACAAGATTTTAACGATATTCAACGTCTGGATGATTCTTATACATTATTATGAATACAATTACATAAAGCATTATGCCATTTAGCATTAATTAATAATGATCGATCAAAATTTTTTATACATTTACTTGATGAATTACTTCATAATGAACCAATATTTGGAAAAGCTATTTATGATCAACATAATCAACCTTAATTGATTTTATATTAATAGCTATTAATATAATATTAACATCGTTTTCAGATATGGATTCATTAGGTATATTCGATTGGTCAAATAATAACAATGTTGTTTATTTATCATCCAATCCACAAAAACGTACCTTAGTACCATTTATACCATTATCGAATGATGGATCATATACATTAGAATTTACATTATTATTTTTCGAATATACCACCATCATTGACATATAAATTTGAAAAGAATAAATTCAAACAATGATGAAACAATTATCGACTTATCTATTCGAACAATGATTGAAAATATCGTCATCAAATAAATGATAAATATCGAATACTTTTATTACATTTCTTGATTCATAATGAATCATCAAATGAACAAGCTATTTATGATCAATATAATCAACGTTTATTTGGTTATGTAGTCACTGCTATTGCAACAATATTAAAATCATTTTCAGATATCGATCTAGCAGGTATATTTGATCGTTCAAATAATGATAATTTCGCTTAGCTATTATTAAATACAAAAAGAAAAAACTTTCATTATCACCAATTATACTTCGTCTTACACAAATATCAATTATAGTTATTCGTATTCTACAACACTTAATATCAAATAATGAAAATGATATACAATATATACATGTTGTTATTATTTATTAAAAACAAATAAATTTCCATCGAACGAACGAAATCATATGTATTTATATTTATACATAATCTAGCTGTTGACCCACGAAACTGATATAAAATATGTTCACATGTTAAAATGATATTCGAAAAAATTCAACACAACTCATACTATTTCTTCCATCTCTTCAATATGAACAAAATACTCATGTGTGTGGACACGTATCTGTTACGGAGGGAAGGAATGTTAGCGGTGATTCAATATCACCCTTCCCTCAATGTCTTTCTACCTTTCTTTCTCTTGCACTGTTACTGTTATTGCTATTGTTATATCTCTCTCTCTTTTTTTTTCTTCTCTTTGTATGTTGTTATATATATGTACGTGTTGTTAAGGACATTTTGATATATATTTATAGATATATAGATAGATAGATAAATAAATAAATAAATAAACGTAAGCTCGTCGAAGCGAGCTAACAGCTTTACTTCAAATGAGTAAAAAGTAAAATCCATCTTTGCGAAATTATTTAGTAAATCAAAATAAATGAAAAAAAGATCTTCTGTGTCGCTGTGTATTTTCACTGGTTTACATTGTTTACGTATTATTGCTCTTTCCTAGCTATCTTCCCTACGTATGCCCGTTTTATTTTGTTTGTTACTTTATTCCTTGAATTACTTTTTGATGTTCTATTCATCTTTTTTTTGTTGATAAATGAACCTATCAGATCAGAACGTACCGAATATTGAATCGATTTCAAGTTTATTTTAATCATATTCATTTTTTTTTCTGATATATGATAATCTATTCATTTGACGCATTTTTTAAACATTTTAATATTAAACAGAAATAAATAAATATAAAGAAAAACCAATTTAGGTGAACCATGTTTAATTTTCATTTTTCAATAACACTAATTTTCATAGAAAAAAAAACCCGATGTTCATGTAAGCATGCATTTTCTTCCTATCAAATAAAATTCAATAAACAGGAACTATGAAAAATATCATTTAAACAATATAGACTTTCTCAGATGGTTTTACTATGCAGATGGAAATTAAAATGATCTTACATGCCACTGTATTTGTATTTCTCTGATATAATTTTCCTATGTCATTTATTTTTCCGAATACTTTACGACGATCAACATCATTTTTTCAATCTTTTTGCGAAAATATATTGGCTGTTTTTAGCTATTAAAAATTTTGATGCGGAAAATCTATACGAAGCGAACAAGCTATATAGAAAATGAGACAGATATTTTTAGACCAAATTTGTACTTAAAGTGCGTCTTTGTATGTATGAACGATGTACAAGAATAGTAATAGCTGTTTGACGTATTTTATCAATAAAAATAAGCCATATGTTGATAATATATTATTTTCTGCGCAGTAATGCATAAAAAGAATCCTTTTTTAACCATTGAAACATCTACTATATGTTATTTATGTCTTGTAACTCAAATAAGTAAGTAGTCTAGTTAGTTGATCATATTTAGTTTTTTTTCAGAACTTTATCAGATGTGTCCATTCTTCAAAATTTATAGATAGTATCATATGAAAAATACTTAACAATGTTCAAAGTAATTTCTACATTTCTGCTTGATTCATGTTCAATAGAATGTAAGAGTGGCTATGATACCTGATAGAAAAACGATCATAGAGTGTTTTCATGCGTTTAAAGCATTCTCTTTCGAGATTTGCATCTGTTTGATTGACATTGATTCAATTATGACCTTAATCAGTTAGATACGTTTCTTGCTACTGTATACCATTGAAATCAGTGCTCGATCCAAATCAAATTCTCATTGACTACAATGTGAGTATTGACAAGAACATTTAGAAAATGTATATTCAATACTTTGAATTACTTGATAATGAGCCAATTGCTCTCCGAAACAAAAGCAATCTATATACGATGAAGATAATACTTTGTAATTACTACCATTTTTTTTCATTTCATTAGAGTATCAATTGTTTTACTAATAAGGTGGAATAGATAAGAGAATGGTATTGTGCACCGTGACATATTTTTTTTAACGACAATTAAATTCGATACTTTTGTTGGTCAATTTCTTTCCGTCAGTTAAATATTGGCACAGCCTTGCATTTTAATAGAAAATTGAGGATTATCCAATACTTATTAAACTATCATCAATCTTCGTTGTATGTGAGTTGGCATCATTGTTATTACCAGTGATACCAATGGCTAAAGTAAACTATGATGAAAACTACTTAAATCTTCATAGAAGGAATTTTTTTCATGATTACAGAAGAGAAGGAAAATTTAAAAATGTTTTGAGAATGTAATAAGCATAATCTTGCTCTCTGAAAAATGACAAATCGTCAAAAATGGTGAACATCCACCAAAATCCAAGGATAATTTTTCCCTTGCGGATAATAATACTTATTGCATAAAACCTTTCTTATATTGTTCCTTGTATAGAATGGCTCAAACAACAGATGATGTTTCTACTTATGACTATATTATCATTGGAGGTGGAACCACTGGTATAGTTGCAGCTCGACGTTTGGCAGAGAATAATGCTAACTTTAGTGTATGTATTCTTGAAGCAGGTCCAAGGTATGTTTGTTTGTTCATATTAATGTTTTTATTTCAAAAAACCTATTCTTTTTTTATGACAGTAATGAGGATATAGTCAACAGTCATATGCCTGGTGGTTGGATATTGATGCAAAAAACTCCAGTCGATTGGTGCTACGAAACTGTTCCTCAAAAAGGATGTAATAATCGTATTATATCTCTTCCACGAGGTCGTTTACTTGGTGGCTGTAGTGCAGCCAATGGTACATTAGTTACTCGTGGTCCCAAAGCCGATTATGATCGAATTGCCGATATGGGAAATCCAGGATGGAGTTGGAAAGAAATGTTACCATTCTTTAAAGCATCTGAAACATTTCATCCAGCTGAATGGCATCAGGCAGACTTAAATATACATGGAACTGATGGACCTTTACATATCTCCATGAGTCCTCTTGCACCCATAGGTGAAAAAATTCTTGAATCATTTATCGATAGTGGTTTTGATTACAAACCAGATATGTTTGTTCAAGGAGAGTATGAAGGTTTGTTCCATTTTTTTCTACAATAACATTGATATAAGCATTAATTAGGTGTTGGGCACGTTGGTCGTACAGCTTACAATGGTATTCGTTCAACAAGTGCAGATTTTATTAACAAATACGATAAAACAAATCTTATAGTTCGAACAGGTGCATTTGTGGATAGAATCATTCTGGAAAAGAGTGATGAAAAAGAAGGTGAATACAAAGCAGTCGGCGTGGAAGCACATGATAATACAAATAGTCAACCGATAATTATCAAAGCGAACAAAGAAATTATTTTAAGTGCTGGGTATGATAATCTTTTCATTCTTTGAGGAGAAACAATGACCTTATGATAGAATCAATTCACTCTCGTTCTTTTGAAAAATCTTCTCTGAAAATAGGCATAGTTAATTCCTGAAATGAAAACGTGTGAAGTTACATTTTCTAATATAAATGTGTTACAACGTTTTTGATTTAGTGCTTATAATTCTCCAATGGTTTTGATGCATTCTGGTATTGGTTCGGAAAAGCATCTTAACGAAGTGGGGATTGGTTGTAAAATTAATTTACCTGGTGTTGGTGAAAATCTTCAAGATCATATAATTGTATGAATAGATTTTTCAACTTATTCAAATAATAATTAATATTATTAATCAGGTTTGCACGTCCTATCAAGTGAACGATCCGAATCTCACATACGATCGATTTCTTTATCATCATCCAGATGGTCTTACATTAGCGGTCAAAGAATGGCAAGACACTAAGACAGGCGTAATGACGAGTTTGCCGCTCGCTGTTATGGCTCTTACCAGAATCGACAAAACGATTCAAGATCCTGCTTGGGAAGCTGCAAAAGCCAAACAACAGAGCAAAAATTCATCAAACTCTGATCCAACTGGACAGTGGCCGAATCAACCTCATATCGAACTCATTACTACTCAGTTATATATGGGCCTACCTGACTTTTTAGATGCTGGTTAGTTAATTCTGTGTCCAAAATCTTTTAGCTATTCTGTATTTGTAAGTATTTCTGTAAATGTAAAGGAATGACCTTTCAAATTGTAAGACAAATGGAATATAGCATGTAGAACTCTAATGCAATTGTTAACTTATAGGAATTGTGAACATGCCTATCAGATGAACTGACCTCTCCCTCATGTAAATATTCTTTGAATTTTCCTTGAATGCAAGCATATATCTGAGCACATAATTCGAATTGAGAGGAGAACATTCATCTATGGATTCCATAGAATTACTTTTAATTGTATATTTTAAACAGGTGAATCTTAACTTTATGTATATCTATGTCACCTGTATTTATAGATGGACTTCCATACAATCCAGTGAATGGTGAAGGCATCTTTACTACGGTTGCTTTTCTTTGTGGACAACAAGCAAGAGGTACAGTACGATTATCATTCAAAGATCCGACTAGCAAGCCAATAATTGATCATGCTTATCTTGATAATGATCTTGATGTTGCAGTACTTGCTGAAGGTTGTCGATTGTGTCATGAAATCATAATGAAGGGTCGAGGAACAAAAGATATTATCGTTGGTGCTTGGCCAAAGATAGTTCCGCATCCAAATGATATGATTGGTTGGAAAGAGCATGTACGAGCATTTGCAAGTACCTGTTTTCATCCAGGTGGAACATGCAAAATGGCACCTGACAATGATCCCATGGGAGTAGTTGATAGTCGTCTTCGTGTGAGGAATGTTAAAGGATTGCGAGTGGCAGATGTATCCATTCTGCCTCTTCTCAACAATGGTCATCCGCAAATACTCGCATATGCAATTGGTGAAAAGGCCGCATCTTTGATTTTAGAAGATGACGGTGTTTCAAAGTAATTTCCAACGATCCATAAAGTTGAACAATTGTTGAAATTATTAAAAGACTTACAAATTAATTATAATAATAATTCCGCACTATTTTGATTCGTATCCTATTTTAATCGATTTTTATGAATAAAAAGCATGAATACAAAACTTAAACTCGAATGTACATATTTAGACGAATGAAGGGTGTGGTGTGGGTGGGTGCGGGTGTAGGTGTGAGTGTGGCTGTGGGTGTGGGGTGTCGGTGTGGGTATTGGTGTCTTTTTTCTGTTAATCTGCGAGAACACCCATACCCACACCCCCACTTCCACCCACACTCTAGTGGCGTATTTCGTTGAAATTGGCTTTATTATTCAAAATTATAGACTACTTCAATGAATCCTATTTTCTGGAGGAATAGGTGTGGCCATTTCGCTAATTTCATTGATAGTCATAAATAAAGTCATGAGCAGTGCATACTTTGACAGAGTCGGCGACTTGATACTTCAGTGAGTATCACTGTTTCGGTGAACCCTGACACCAGTGCCGTCAGTGTTAGTGTATGCACTGGTTCAGTGAACATTAATATCAGTGCAGTCAGTGTCAGTATATGCACTGGTTCAGTGAATATTAATGTCGGTGTCAGTGTGTCACTGTCAATAATTCACTGTTTTGATCGAAACTGCACATCCCTATTCCAATAATATAAAATAAAAAATGATATTCTTTGTTTTATTAAATGAACTTACTGTAGAAGTGTGTTAACGACGGTAATATGTATGGATCATGTTTTAATCGAGATGAAACTACGTTATGAATATTTGAATCACGTTGAATATCACGTAATTCACTACATGCTTTTAGAGTCTGTATAATAGTCCAGTTTGAACATTTTTCAATATTATTTATATGTTTATCGATTAAT